TGGCCAGAACCGATACCAGATCCATATCCAGACCCGGAGCCACTTCCACTTCCATATCCACTACCAGAACCGCTACCACTCCCTGAACCATGGCCGGAACCACCACCAGATCCATATCCAGATCCAGAGCCACTTCCACCTCCATTTCCATAACCACCACCTACACCTACTCCAGAGCCACTACCACTCCCTGAACCATGGCCAGAACCGTTACCAGATCCATATCCAGATCCAGAGCCGCTACCACTCCCTGAACTATGGCCTGAACCACTACCAGATCCATATCCAGATCCAGAGCCACTTCCACTTCCACTTCCATAGCCATTACCAGAGCCGCTACCACTTCCTGAACCATGACCAGATCCATATCCAGATCCAGATCCACTTCCATAACCACCACCTGCACCTACTCCAGAGCCACTACCACTCCCTGAGCCATGGCCGGAACCACTACCAGATCCAGAGCCACTTCCACTTCCACTTCCATAGCCACTACCAGAGCCGCTACCACTTCCTGAACCATGACCAGAACCATTACCAGATCCATATCCAGATCCGGAGCCACTTCCATAACCACCACCTGCACCTACTCCAGAGCCACTACCACTCCCTGAACCATGACTGGAACCGCTACCAGATCCGGAGCCACTTCCACTTCCACTTCCATATCCACTGCCAGAACCGCTACCACTCCCAGAACCATGGCCGGAACCGCTACCAGATCCATATCCAGACCCAGAGCCACTTCCACTTCCACTTCCATAGCCCCCACCAGAGCCGTTACCACTTCCTGAACCATGGCTGGAACCACTACCAGATCCATATCCAGATCCAGAGCCACTTCCACCTCCACTTCCATAACCACCACCTACACCTACTCCAGAGCCACTACCACTCCCTGAACCATGACTGGAACCGCCACCAGATCCATATCCAGACCCTGAGCCACTTCCACTTCCATAGCCACCACCTGAGTTGCTACCGCTCCCTGAACCATGGCCGGAACCATTACCGGATCCTTGTCCAGATCCAGAGCCACTTCCATTTCCAGAACTGCCACCAGATGCGCTACCACTCCCTGTACCATGGCCAGAACCGCTACCAGATCCAGAGCCACTTCCATAACCACCACCCGCACCTCCTCCAGAGCCATTACCACTCCCTGAMCCATGACCAGAACCACTTCCACTTCCATAACCACCACCCGCACCTACTCCAGAGCCACTACCACTCCCTGACCCATGACCAGAACCACTTCCACTTCCATAACCACCACCTACAGCTACTCCAGAGCCATTTCCAGTCCCTGAACCATGACCTGAACCACTTCCAGATCCTGAGCCACTTCCACCTCCACTTCCATTACCACCACCTATAGCAACTCCAGATCCATGTCCTGCGCCATTACCACTTCCTGAACCCTGGCCAGAGCCAGTACCAGATCCGGAGCCACTTCCATAACCCCCACCCACTACCACTCCAGATCCAGATCCATGTCCATAGCCACTACCACTCCCAAAACCATGGCCAAAACCACTACCGGATCCAAAGCCACTTCCACTTCCACCTGTAGCTACTCCTGATCCATAGCCAGAGCCACTACCACTCCCTGAACCATAGCTAGATCCACTATTAGATCCGGATCCATATCCGAAACCACCTCCACCTCCACCTCCCCCACCACTCCCATAGCCATGTCCACTTGTAGCTCCTCCAACCCCATATCCACTACCACTCCCAGAACCAAAGCCAGATCCATAACCAGTACCACTCCCAGATCCGTATCCTAAGCCACCACCTCCACCGCCTCCACTTCCATAACCAACACCTACACCTTTACCAAATCCATAGCCAGATCCACCACCACTCCCAAAACCAGAACCAGAACCACTCCCAGATCCGGATCCATATCCGGAACCACCTCCACCACCCCCACC